GCGAGTACAAGATCGTCGCTTTTACCTTATTACGTGCTTAAGATACCCTGGACCGACAAGAGAACCTGTCAAACCAGCGTCCCTGAACCCGCCAATTTTATCACTCGAATTGGTACAAAGTGCGCCAATTCTCAGCGAAATCGCTTGCGATAGTAATTTCGAAGTAATTTTGTCGAATAATTAAATCACGGAGATGTTGATTAAATCTACGATTTAATTGCACGGTACACACACACACACACACACACACACACACACACACACACACACACACACACACACACACACACACACACACACACGTGCGTCCGGAAGTGTTGGAATAATTCTACAGACCCTGCTTCAACGCGAAGTGACGAACAGTGTGCCTCGTGCTGTTAATTAACAATTAATATTAACCTTGCGAACAGACGACACAAGAGCAGTAAAATCATAAAACACGACCGCTCGCTATTTATTTCTCGGCAAACTTTCCGTTCGTTTGAACTTTGCGTCTGCGAGTCTACTGCATGTATACTTAGGTGACCAATCGTCGCAAATTAAAGACATGATTGTGAATTATTTATCTTTTAAGTATGAAATAATGAAATGAAAATATAAGTGTAAAATGTCATTTTCAACTAACGCGTCAAGAAAGTTATAATAGAACGAATATACAGGACTCTTAGTATTAAAAAATTGTCAATGAAATAAAAAGGCAATCAAGAGTCAATATTATATGTGTGATCTAATAAAACATTTAATATATTGTAAATTAAAATAAAATAAAAATAAAATAAAATTCACACTATAAATGCGCACGCAACAAAAGTCAAAACCATAACGTTTCGGCTGCATATTCGAGCCATCCTCAGATGTACATATAAATATTAATTAACGCAGTAAAACATTTTTAGTTAACGCAGAAAAAAATAAGAATAAAACTATAATGGAGTGTTATGTTCTAAAACGTTGAGTATTTCCACAGAGAGAACAATTTAGTTAGCTCATCAAGCGATTGGAAGAAAGTTATAATTTTTTATTTAAAAGACTCCGATTTATATTATTTGATATTACTTATAAAATACATATTCAATAAAAAATACAATTTAAAAAAAACAAGATAGGATATCGTAGCTTGATGTAATTTTTGCGATCTCATGTTATACATTAAATGTTATTCATAGTTATTTATATATATATAGTATTATGAAAAAGACTTCAACGTTTTAATTAATTTTAATAATGTTTTAATTAATTTTCAATTAATTTTAATATTTATAAACAAGTTTGTCTATTAAGATTTAAATTTAACGACAGTTAATTAATATTAAATTTCTTTTTTAATTTCCTTCTTTTCCTTCTTAAGGAGTCGATCACTTTTCTGTACACACTTGACGGGTATATCAGACATGCTGAGTGTTCCGGTGAAACGATCGAGGTTCTAGAAGTAAGAGTTCGATCAATTTTCTAGTTTAACTAAAAATGGCGTACATGTATGTGCGCATAATAAACCGAAAATTGAAAAAGCAGCTGGAACTCTGTTTAAAAATAATTATAGAGAGCACAGAATTCTGCTAGAACTAACGAGATGTCGCTGGAATTGCGATCAATTAACTGCGTGATACTTTTTTTTTCTAAATACTATAATAATGCCTTCTATTTAAAGTCTATTAAAATTGATAATTGTTAGAATTTTTTATCGCATTGCATACTTTGATACAACTGGAGCAGCACTAACGAAACACCCGCAAAAGTCGAAGCACTTTCCTGTTTTTTATACTTTGGAAGGAAAGTGTCATGCTATAGATTCGCGAAATTAGTACGTCATATTTTCATTTTTTGTTGTCATAAAAAATACGGATTATTCTTTTTTTAATATTAGAATTATATTAGAATAACGTGCTAACTACTGATTCTGTATCTTGGCGATATCGCGACATGATCCAACTAATCCAAGACAGAAGGAACGCCACTTTCGCGTCATTGTGTCGCGGCACGAACGACAAAGACTCCTCGAGTGAAATGGCGAACCCCTGAAGGTGAACTCGCACGCCTCCGTACCGGTGCCGTGCAACGTCAGTAACGGTGCATGGAATCCTCTCGTTATCGCAGACAGACAAAACGTTTCTCCGCCCAGCCCGTCTACCGCGTAAGAAAGGGACTCGTTTTTCTCTTGCTTGAACACGCAGCGGACGTCAGCGTGCAAGCGTGCGCTCCGTCTCGCGGTCTTAGTTCATCGCGGAAGCCCTGATACGCATCTTCTTCCTGCGCTTAGTAATTTTCCCTTCGCGTTAAGCCCGATCTACGTAGCACGCAGAACGCAGGATTGCAGATCGTAAGTGAAACAGATTTCCGATTATAATATGTCGTAGGCCGCAATATTTAGGACGCAGGATGCGAAAGTTGAAGTTTACCCAACTTCCTGTATCCTGTGTTCTGCGTCCAGCAATCTATGTATGACAATTAGAATAGGTTAGTTTTTATAATCTTGCGGCCCACGTTCTGCATCTTAGATTTGGCTCCATTACGCAGATTGGGCCTGTTCTACAGTAGGGAGGATCGCAATTCGTAAGACGTAAGAAATTGGCTAATCACAGTTGAATTTGAAAAAAAAATAATCGACTACGATTGGTTAATTTCTTATATGGTTTAAGGCCTGCGACCCTACATCGTATAGAACAGGCTTTACGCTTTGATTCGCACTACTTACAGTGGCTCTAGACTAAGTCACGATGACGGAAAATAGAAATTAAAGAACCCGACGACACTTCTCTACGCGCCGTAATTAAGACTACGTTTACACGAACTGCCTTAATCGGGTTTTCTAGACAGCACATATAATATTTATAAAAAATATTAACAAAATATTTTTATTATAAATATTGCATTAAATGCTGTAAAAATACTTAAGATTTTAAGACATTATTATAACCCAAGGAAAATATTTATTAAAAGTATTTATTTGTATTCATCATAAATATTACATAAATTTATTATTTAAAATAAATAAAAATAAAAAGCGAGCACATAATTAAAATAAAACAATAATAACTATGTATAAGGCTACGAACTAAAGCTAGATGTTGTTGCTAATTATTCATTTAAAATTCAGATAAACAAAACATAAACGTTTCGATTCTTATCGGGTCATTATCAATGTGTGATGATATTTAAATTAAAATGTTGTGCTAATTACATAATTAAAAAGAAAATGTTCTTACAATAATTCTTACGTATTTAACAATTGATCTATATGATAAAATATTTAATATAAAATATATAATTTAATAATATTTCGAATAAAGCTTTATATAAAATATGTATTAAAAAGTTCATATAAAAAATGAATAGTAATACATATTATCATAAATATTCTGTGCTATCTGGTTAATAATATTCGTTAAAAAATGGCCAATCATAGTCATTCCGTTCATCAGAAAAATAATTGTGATTGATCAATTTCATAATTATGGATGTTATTAAATTATATTAAGAATATTTATGTAAACATAGTCAGTTTCGAATTTAACTTTTCAATCTATTGTTCTGCAAGAGCAGATTTATTATACCTAGCATTCCTTTTTCAACACATTTCTAGAAACATATTATTATGTAAAAATATTCTCGTGGACATCAAAAATTATGAATTCTAAACTCTCATCTCACATGTAATAATATATTTATGAAATATATTTATGGAAGTTTACAACATGTAATTTTTTTTGTTAAACATATTTGCATAAAGTATATTTGATATTTTTAAATATTATGAGCGCATGTTAAAATGAAATGTATATGCCGAAATTTTTACTGAAAAATAAAAGAAAATAGGATATCGATAGGCACAAAGGGAAAAGAGCGTAAAGCAGATGAATAGAGATAAATTGATTTTATTTAAAAAAAAAAAAGCGGAGAGCAGAAAACAATTTATAGAACATACACGAATGCCTCGAGGTATAATCACAAAGAGATTCGCTCCTTTAAAAGAGACACAATTCGACAAACGCGATTTTCGAGTTATAATCGCTATAAATAAAACGTGAAAACGTTAACTTAAATCATAAAAACTGAACTAAAAACTTATAACTTCATAAAAAATTATAATATCAAAATAGTCTGAAAAAAAAATTGAAAAAAGATGATTTTTTTTAGAATTATAAAACAAAAATAATAAAAATAATATTTATTTTTTGTCGATGTTATATCGGATTATACATATATATAGTCAATAATTTTTTGTCAAATTGGAAAATATACTCATTATATATATATATACTCTTCGTGTTTCTTTCTACATGATCGGCAATTTTTTTTAAAATAAAATTCATTTATCTCTATTTGATTTTCTCTTTCTGTTCAGATGTTATTTTTTGTCATTCCATTTCGGCGCATATATTTAACTCTGATAAACGCGCGTTTACAATATTTTTAAAAAATGTGCAATATCGATACTTTACGCAAATTCTCTTCTTTTTTTGGAAAACTAAATTTTTTAAGTAGCGCGTCCCTCTTAAAACAAAGGAGCGGGATATAGTATATAAAAAAGAGCGAGAGAGAGAAAGAGAGAGTGTGTGTGCGCGAAGTGTGCACCGAAGCGACGACAAGTCAAGTGCGCTCGCCGAGAGCGAGCGGCTGACACGTCGGCTTCGGCCCCGCGTCCTTGCCAGCTCCCTACTCCGCTCTCGGCGGAGTTCTCCGCTCGGGGAGTGGGGAATCCGTCCATCCCCACTACCTCCGCCACCCTCTCCTCCGTCCCACCATTACGCCGCGCTATGTAAGAGCCCGCACATGTTACCCCGCGTTCCAGTCTCGCAGCGGCACTCGCGAGCGTAGTTTCGCACATCGGTGGATACGCGCGGGACACGGATCGCTTGGCGGGGCAGGAAGGGGCGATAAAACGCTCTTTCTCTCTCTCTACCTCTCGCGCGCACCGGAGGGACACAGAGGGAGAGAGACACCCACGTAAACCACAGCGCGCACAGGTACGCGAGAGGGGGAGGCCGAGGGGGGTGTGTGTGTGTCTGCGTGTGAGTGTGCGGGCGTGCGTGCGTGTGCGCGCTTACGTTACGTGTACGCGTGCGCGCGCGACGAGTTCCCTTTTCAGTGCCTCGCGCGGAGCCGCCGCGACCTCGTCGTCGAGTTGCCACGTTCGCCGAAGGCCGAACAGCAGTTTTAATCGGGTGGAGTGATAGGAAAGGAGGAGAGGAGCAGCAGCAGCAGCAAAAGTCCACCGCCGCGTTTCCGTGCCCACTCAGCATCCCGCACTCGCGTTCTCCTTTTTCCTCCCTCCCCCATTATTTTATCCCTTTTTCCCCCGTGTTTTTTTTATTTTCCACTCTCGACGCCCCGCGACGCGTGTGGAATTACTCCAGTGGCAAGTAATCGCGCCCGCCGATTGACCTGTCCGTCCCTCGTCTCGGCGCGAGTGAGTTTCGAGAGAGTGTGAAAGAGAAAAGGAAGGTTCCTCCTCCTCCGTTCCTCTCGCGAGGAACTCGCGCGGTGTGGATAAGTCGCGGTAGGAACAGAAAATCGGAGGGATAGCGAAGAGAACGAGCGACGCGTATAATCGAGAAACACGTGAGTATCCCGAGAATTCCGGAATGTGATTGTTTCATAAGAGTCCGACCTTCCCGAAGCCTCCTCCGCGAGATGATCTTGACACCCGCGCGTGGGTGCGACGGGGACACGTAACGCTGGTGCACGAGCTGCATACCTCGCGTTGCGTAATCGTGCGCGTTCTTTTTTTTTTTTTCTTTTTTCCCTCCCCGAACGCGAACGAGAAGGATACGCCGCGAGAGCGAACGGTGCAAAGTCGGAGCAGCCTCGCGGATTCCGCTGAAAACACACGTTAATATTTGTTATCGCTCCGCCAGTTGATGGTTGCGTTTAACGGAAAAAGCACTTTTACGATTATTGAAATGGAACTGAATTTTCCACCGGGAAAACTCAGTCGCGCTGACATTGGTGCACATTCAAGTGCAATCGAAAGCAAATCAATTAACACACTTATCTTCCGTGTTGGTGTATAATTTAACCCTTTCAATTATTAATGTTTTTCGTCGTCACGGTAACCTAATAACGTTAAAATGATCGATTTATTAATATTGAAAGTATGTAAATTGATTTGCACTCAATTGTACCGGTATCGCATTAATTTGAAAGCTCTTTAAGATTTTTTTAATATAATTGATTCCACACTTTGTTTTGCAGTTCGTCAATGAACGTATAAACCAGTCACATTGAAAAATCTTAACTGTTTTTTTCCCCCCTGAATGTAGCCAATGATTGTCAGATGGATTTCAAGACAGAGAGTGACTTTCTGCGCATAATTTTCAACATTTTTCGTCTCATTGCATCGCGTGATTTTCCAATTCGCAAAAGTTGAGTTCGCGAAGCACACATTCATGTGATATTCACGCCACTCGGTACCTCAACGCTCTTATCTCCCGCTTGTTGTCACCCATGAACGTTGATAAGGCTCGCGGCCAAACTACAAGCTCGTGTAAAATTATAACCGCGGAGACCAAACTGATTGCACAGAAAACTGACCGGGTGACGTTTCTCGGCCTGGAGGCTCAGCTTTTCGTTGCAAAATTCCAGGTTCGATCCAGGAAATTTGAGTCTCGAAAAACCAAGCCATTACTGGCGATAGCTCGATTCATGTCCATCCAATTTTGGACGAGAGGCTACGCGAAATTTATCGATAGACAACCGATTATCGAAAAACCGTCAAACCGTTGCTACCCTTAGTCGGTGCGTAATACGAGATCGTTCGGTGGTTTCGTAATATCGGTCTTTAACCCTTCCGTCCGTCAGTCTACTGGTATTTAGGGTTCACTTATATCGAATTTTAAACAATACATACTTTTATACATCTTTATACAGATTTCGAACAATAAAAAAAAAAAAAAGAACTGTTTTGCACAGGTTTTATCTCGTTTTCACTTTCAAACTTATAGCGGGAAATCTTGTAAAACAGGCAGTAGTGAAAAAGTGAATAAAAATTATGCATCGACGAAAGGGTTTAAAGTGCTGAAGATAACGAGGAGTGACGTACATTTGGATCCATCGGGCGGACCGCGCGTTTCGCGAATATAATCGCTTAGGACGAAATAAACTGGCCGTCACGCGCGGCGCGGTGCGTAAGCAGAGCCCGCGATCTCACGCGTGCGGCATGCCGTGACGCGCCGCGCCGCGCCGCAGCGCGCGCATGCACGCGGCCGCGTGCTGTTACGTGACGACTGAGAGCGCGCGGCTCGAGTTCCGTGCCACGCCGACGACGTGTGTAGGTACATATACATATCTACGACGTAATACACCCGGCTGTCGCCGCTGCTCGATTTTACTCCGTTCTGCGACCGCAATTATGTAGCGCGAGAACAGGTGACGACAGTCACGGCCTTGATATGATATCGCGTAGCCTCACCAAATGGTTGTAATTAACGGCGGACGTTCGAATACACTTGTTGCAAATATTTTTCCAAAACGATTTTCGAGCCGCGTTGAAAACTCGAGTCGTGCTTCGCACATCGTTCGAAACGCGGGGATTCCTGAATATTCGGACATTCTTTTCTGTAAATTTCTCTTTCTCGAGAGAGAGTATTTTAATAATATCTTAATATCTGAGAAGCTTCCGATGCTTAAAAATATAAAATATCTAGATTCAAGGGGAGAGTAAATAATTGAAATAATAACGTAAAATAATCTAAGATTCTTTAGAGTGGAATTTCATCTTAAAGAATGAAAATGTCGTAAAGAAGAATGGCTTAGTTTTCTCAACTTGGTTTTCAATTTTTAAGAGCGAGATTTCACTTAAAACTTTTAGAGAATAGAAAATATTGTGTATATTTTTAGAGACCATTTAAGTTGTATGAATTCCAAAAATACAAGATTTCACAAATATTTCGAGACTCACGTTTTATATTCGATACAATTCGATGTATCCTATCTAGCGATCACATCGCTATAGACATAACGCAATCGACGCGATAAAATTGAAGTGGATAAATTGCTGTTTTTATTTTTCAATTTAATTCTTGTCTACCGTGTATATGTCGTAATTCTCGCAATGATAAACGAGCTATAATAAATCGTATTCCAATCATATTTTCGCAATTTATTAAAGATATAGGTATAACAAAACTCATCTCACGTTCATCCTGCGACGCGGTCGAATATGATGTTAAATAAATTGTTTCCTGCGATTTGTCCATTAAACTGTCTTCTGGCGATTTCGTTGTTGGAAACGAACGCAAACCGTGGCTTTGTTTATTAGCATAATGCTAAATACGTGAGCAACCGTTACCGCATTTCCGCCTCGCTAGTATATCGGAAATTTCTTTCATGCGAGCACAAACGTGGATAGTTTAGCCATCGAATAACTGGTTTAAGCGAGGTAACGCGGTGTGTAAGAGGAGATAAATAAATCCATTTCTTCTCTCGATCCATTTAAATTCGCTTTCCCTCTCGCATTATGAGACAGCAAAACATATAACGTACGCCGGTCGATCGGTTTAATTCTATTAAAAATGTCGCGCGCGGAGACGAGGCGATTAATTTCTTCAAGGCTTAATCCGTTGAGGACAACAATCTGGAGCTAATGCCGCGTGACTCACGACTCCTCCGTATGTGTTTCACTTTACACGAACGCGGTCATTACGACGAGTTACGTTAAAGGTCGCCAGACCGATGGAAAGCCGGTTTTTAGCGCGTTCGTTCGCGATAACGTCTGCTATCAAGATACACGTGTCGACGTACGCGATCATTCCCGGGATTAAGTAAGATCCGGTTTTTCATTATCCGTTTAAGCTTAACTTGATGTTTCATCCAATGGCTTATTTGACTCGTGACATCATAGATGAAGCCTATTGGATGAAATATCAGGCTAAGCCTAACCATAAGTTGACCGGATAATGAAAAAACCGAGCCTAATTGGTGGACACCCTTAGTTTCACAACTCACGGTTAACTCTCTTAACCTAGACTCAATTTCAAGAATTGAAAAGAAATGAGGAAGAAGTTGAATAACTGGGCTTTAATCAGGTTTAATAACATCCGCAGTTAGAAACTGGACAATCACGGTCATTCCATTCTTCAGAGGAGCAGCTATATATGATTGGCCAGTTTCATAACTGCGGATGTTATTAAATCTGATTAAGAGTGCCTCTCCGTGCAATCGTAGTCGGGACCGTATCGTTCACTTTCCGAAGAAATTGCACGATCGACTTATCGCGTGACGCGCGATAATATTCTCGATGATTCTTCGCAATATCATATTATTGTGTCCGAGTCGAGCGAATGACTCATTTGACGAAGATGAAACGAGAAGCGATCGCAATAGTGGCGGGTGTTTTTTTTCCCCCTCCCCCATCTGATATCTTCGTGAAATTTCTAAACCAAACGCGGCGCTTATAACGAGAACAAATGGCGGGCTTTTACGCGAGCGGATACGCAAATTTATTTGCACAGCTGGTACACATCTATCAATCGTCACGCGCGGTACTCGCGCGCGGGTTCGCGCTCTCGCTAGCGTTCGCCTGTCGCCGGGGGAAAAAAGAAAAAGGCTCGATGTACCGTAAATTCCGTTTGGCTATGCCGGTTGTTCCGCGCGCGTTGTTAAAGCATTAACGGGATAACACGTCGCTTATCGAGTAAACGCTCGCGGTCCGCGATGTATATGTATCTCTTCGCGGCGCGTAGTGCCGCGCTTTTCCGCGGAGCCGAGAGCAAATTGCCCGCCCTGCTCGACTACCGAAATCAGATTAACGTCGATTTCCCCCGTTCATCGATCTTCTCCGCGTTTTCTCTTTCTCTATCTATTTATCTTTCTGTCCCTCTCTCTCTCTCTCTCTCTCTCTCTCTCTCTCTCTCTCTCTCTCTCTCTCTCTCTACTCTCTCTCTCTCTCTCTCTCTCTCTCTCATCCTCTCTCGACTTCTTTCGTTTCCGTTGTAAACAACAGGGTGCACGTTCTGATCGTCCGTCACGGAATTAATCACAGTTTAATTGGAAAATCTCTGCGCGCAAATACCGTCGCTCGCGGTGGGTAAATACATGGGTCATCGGAATCGGATGCAGTCACGTAATATGCGAACTGCATTGACATCGACCGACTGTGTCGCTCTCGCGCTCGCAGTCGAATCGATCGACCCACACTTGAGGTACATGAAAACAATCCTTGATGCACCTTTTCGGATAATTTGTGTTTCGGAGTACATTACATCCGAAAACACACGGTGTTTTAACACTGTCCGATCTCTCCGATCCTTTCTGATGCTAAAAAACTCTCGTGGCAGCCAATGATGAAACGGATTCGCTATTTAAGAATGTATTACACATATTTTTTAACAAAATACATGAAAAATTTGCAGATTTTTAAATATTATATTTGTATATAGAAGTAACATAAAAGGTTTGACGGCGGCGATTTTGAACCTAAAAAAATATTTTAATAAAAAATAGACATATTAAAAAAAAAATTAGATAAAATGAGAAAATGTTCACATTTAAAATTGCACTGTTAAATATAAATATTAATCTTATTGAACCCCGTATGTATAATTTCTTTTTTATACGGAAAG